GTATCACCCTATCCTCTCACAGGCTGCAGGTATTAGACAATCCACTGATGCCGCTAGCTGCACAGCCTGAAGAAAACAGTTTCTAAAACAAACTGAAAAGAGTCCCACATTCATAACAGAAATAATTAGTTACAAAAATCATTCCCCCAGATAAAAACTTCCATCAGTCCCTTGAGAATTTGTGCAGACATCAGTCATCCTTGGTTTTCAGAAAATGTACAGTATTTTCTTTTCCAGAATCTTTTTTTAATCCAAGATAATTTATAACAAACTTAAGAATATATGCTAATACTGTCAAGTGTAGTTCCATTACAAAGGAAACACCATTGTAGCTTCCTGAAAGGCAAAGAGCAGGAGGGGGAGGGGGAGAGGCTTCTGCACAGATGTGGCCATGCTGCTGCTTGAGACTGGACCTTGCAGAACCTACTTTGCATCCTTTACCCAAGGCCTTTGCCTCCATCACTCACCTGCCTTTCCTGGATGGCTCATGAATTTCTCTTCCTGGCCAGTGCACTGTGCTCTCAGCGGCCAGAATCCATCCCCACCACAAAAGGAAGATGCCAAATTTCATATTCTGGACAGCCAACATAGATTTCCAAATCAAACAGTTCTCCCGAGAAGCCGTGAGAAGGAGCCGGTGAGGAGCCGCTGTCGGTCCTCTCCTAAGGCATCATTGCTGTGTTTGTTATTAGAAGGATGTTTACCCTTGCAAAAATGAAGCCGCAGTCTGTAATCTGGCCAGCGGGAGAAAGCAATTTCCACTAACCCCACAAATCCTCCTGCGTCAGATGTCAGGGATTTTCTGAACTGAGGTTGAATTCCCGTGTCCTGTGGGACAGTTCCTGGGGCTGGTCTAAATTAGTTCATCATCAAATGTTGGGAGCGTGCTGGCTAGGGTCTGGATTTTCAAGGCGGCCGAACTGAAAGAAGAAAGTAAACGTGGAAAGGCAGAGGCTCTGATGCTCACCATGATCCTGCCTGGATCTACCTGAAGCTTCTAGATGCTTCTAGCTTACTCATGGCTTCTCTAACTTCAGAGTTGATACCTCGTGGGCAGCTGTGGCTGGGGTTAAGAGGGAAACGGGGCGGAAGCTACCTCATCAGCCTCACATTTGGAAATACCTGGAAATAAATGAACTGCCATCAAGTGTTATCCTTTGATGCTTGCCCAGAATCCTTGGCCCAGGCTTCTGTCTCACAGGACAGAGTCAGAGTCGCATGGAAGAGGGCTCCATCCAGGACTCCAATTTATTGACTCTGCCAAGCTGAGCTCACACAATTGAGAACTTTCAGGCTGTACTGGCAAACTGAGTCAGGATTCCCACAACTCCACAGCTGAAAAGGCAACCTGAAACTCAGGCAACCTGGGCTGGCCTTGAACTCTCCATACAGTCAAAGTTGTTTCTGAACTCTAGGGGGGTAGAATCTTTAAGAGGCAGGGCCTAGGCCAGGTATTGAAGTGCATAGCTAAAACTTCACAATTTGGGGAGTCTGAGCCAGGAAGATTATACATTTGAGACCAGCCCAGGCTACAGGGCAAGACTACAATGATTAAATGAAAAGGAGGAGGAGAAAGATGAGAAGAAGGCAGAGGAGAAGGCAGGAGCTACTGTGAGATAATTAGCTTAAGGGAAGGCAGTCCCACTTTGATTAGATTAATGGAACTCTCAAAAGACCTTGTTTGTTTCTAAGAGTGTGAACTCTTATTACAAAAGCAAAGGTGATGCCAAGTCCAACCCTCTACCCTGCCAGATCCTGCACATCTTTCTCCAGAGTCTCCCAGTGAGTCGGCCTGACCCTCCCATGCTACACCTGCCCAATCTGACAGAACTAGCCAATCATGCATCCAGTGCCCTGCCCCAAGCTAGCCAACTCTGCTGGAGTCACAGCCAACCTCTTCCATCAGGAACCATCCTGTCAGACCCCAAATCCACAGACCCTGCCCATACCAAATTCAAACCCACACTCCAAGCCTGCACTCGGCCCTCCAACCACCTGAGTTCATTCCACCTAAGCCATTTCCAACCTTTAGGCCCAACCTGCTCTCTCCATATCAGACTTAGAACTAACAAAAGAAATCTACATACCCAGATCTCATTGCACAAATACAAACAATATGATTGATCAATCCAATACTTTCTCTCCCAAGCCTACCAGTCCTGTAGAAATGTTTATCAATGAGAATTACCCAGATGAATGCCAGGACACAGAATTTAATAGGATAATTAAATAAGCTTCATCAAATAATTCAAGGAGTTTAAAGAACACACAAGAAAGAGCTTAATGATATTAAGGAGAAAGAACTTAAGGAGAATAAATGCCTGAGTGATTCCCAAGAAAATACAAATGTAAAGTTGATAGAAATGACAAGGACTCCCCAAGACTTGGGAATGGAATTCAATAAGGAGAAAGAAATGCTGAAGAGGACTCAAGCTGAAATGAAGATGGAGTTGGAAAACTTAGTGACCCACATGGAAAACTGAAAGTAAAGCATTAGGAGTAGAGTGAATCAAACAGAAGATAAGACACCAGGACCCAAAGATAAAGGAGAGGATTTAGACCAAGTAAATGAGGAATATGAAAAACACTTTAAAACCCAGGAAAGGAACATACAGGAAATGTGGCACACCATGAAAAGTCCAAACCTTTGAATTACAGTCATAGATGAGGAGAAGAATCCCAAGCCAATGATATAGACCAGATCTTCAACATAATCATAGAAGAAAACTTCCCCATACTAAGGACAGACACACCCATATGGATACAAAAGCACACAGAATTCCAAATAGAAAAGACCAGAAAAGAAAATTCCCACAGCATCTCGTAGTCAAAACACTAAGTCTACACAACAAAGAAAGGATATTGAGAGCTTCAAGAGAAGAAACACAAATCACATATAAAGGAAAACCAATCAGAATAATAACTCAATGGAAACCCTGAAAGCCAGAATCTGAGCCTGGGACAATACATTCAAAGTGCTAAAATACCATAATGGCCAGCCTAGACTAGTATACCCCACAAAGCTATCCACCATAGTTCAAGGGAAAAAAAACTTTTGATGATATAAACAGCCTTAAAAAACTACATCAAAAAAAAACACAAAGAAAAAACAGAAAACAATATTTTGGGGTGAAGAGAAGAATGAGCACAGCCAAGAGACTATGAAAAGAAATACAAGCCATGATTACTAAGATACAAAATTTCACTACAGACACAAACAACACCACCAAAACCAAAACCACAGTGACCACGATGACTTATGCATTTCAATAATAACTTTAAGTATCAATGACCTCAAGTCTCTAATCAAAAGACATAGGTGGACTGCATGGATCAAGAAACAATATCTGTCTGTTGTTTGTAAGAAATACATCTTAGCTTTCAAGATAGGAACTGCCTTAAAGAATGAACAAACATGCTCCAATCAAATGAGATCAGGAAACAAGCAGTCATTGTTATCCTAATATCTGACAAAATATACTTCAAATTAAAACTAGTTAGAATAGATAAAGGGGGGAGAGGGAATGGTGTGGGCTTTTGAAATATCAAAGCCCACCCCCCAACACACACCCTCTCCAACAAGGCCATACCCTTCTACTACTTCCCAAATAGTTCTACCAACTGGGGGCCATGAAATCAAACATATGAGCCTATGGAGAAAGTTCTCATTCAAATCATTACAAACACATAACAAACAAGGAGATTGAAACAGTAATTAAAAAGCCTTCCAGAAAAACAAAAACACAAGTTCAGGACCAGATAGATTCACAGTAGAAGTCTACAAAACATTCAAGAAATACCTACAACCAATCCTTCTTAAATATTCAAAAACAGAAATAGGAGAAGCACTCCCAAGCTTCTTCTAAAAAGTCAGTATCACTGTAATATCCAATCCAGGTAAAGGCACAACAAGAAAAGAAAACTACAGGCCAGTATTCCTAATGAACATAGTCTCAAAGTGCTCAGTAAAATACTTCCAAATTGAATACAGATACATACACACCAAAAACAGTATCCACCAAGTTGGCTTTATCCCTGAAATGCAGGGATGATGGAGGAAATCCTTCCTGTATATATGTTTCTCTTAATGGTTGATTAATAAAACACTGTCTGGCCAATGAGGCAAGAAGATAGGTGGGACTAGGACGAGGAGAATTCTGGGAAAGGTAGGCAGAGAGAGCCTGCTAGAACAGTCACCAAGTAGACCACCAAAGGATTAACAGGTCCGGGCATTCTCTGGTAAGCCAAGACCACGTAGAAATACATAGATTAATAGAAATGGTTAATAATTAAGACAGAGCTAGCTAATAAGTAGCTCTAGTCATTGGCCAACAGTTTCACAATTAATATAGTGTTTGTGTGCTTATTTGGGGCTGAGAAAGGCAGCTGCAGGACCTGGCGGGACAAGAAACCTTCTATAACACAGGGATGACAAAGTCATCAAATGTCATAAACCACATAAATAGTCTTAAAGACAAAAATCATGTGGTCATCTCAATAGATGCAGAAAAAGCCTTTGACAAAATCCAACATACCTTAATGATAAAAGTCCCAGCAAATGTAACACTAGAGGGAACCCACCTCAACATAATAAAAGCTATATATGAGAAACCCACAGCCAACATAATTTTAAGTAGAGAATAGCTTGTAGCAATCCTGCTGAAGTCAGGACAGTCAATGCTATATATTATTCTCACTTCTTCTCAATATTGTGCTTGAAGTACTAGCTGGAACAGTAAGTTAAGAGAAAGAAATTTAAGGGATACAAATACAGAAAGAAGTCAACTGTTCATATTTGTAGATAACGCGATACATTAGGGATCCCAAAAATTCTACCAGAAAACTTCTACAAATGATAAACTCAGCAGTGTGGCAAGATACAGAATCAACTTATACAAATCAATAGCATTTCTATACCCCAACAACAAATATACAGAGAAGGAGATCATGGACACACTTTGATTCACAATAGCCTCAAAGAAAATAAAATATCTAGGAATAAACCTAACCAAAGAAGTAGAAAGCTTCTACAATGAAAACTTTAAACCTCTGAAGAAAGAGATAGAGACACCAGAAAATGGGAAGGCATCCCAGGCTTATGGGTTGGTAGAATGAATATTGTGAAAAATGACCATTTTACCAAAAGGTATATATAGATTCAATCCAATTCCAATCAAAATCCCTATCTCATTCTTCACAAAAACAGAAAAAAAAAAAACTATCCCCAAATTCATATGGAATCACAAAAGACCATGGATAGCCAAACATTCCTGAGCAAAAAGAACAATGCTGGGGGTGGAGGGATTACTATTCCAGATCTTTCTTTTTAAGATATATTTATTTATTTATCTTATGCATATGAGTGCTCTATTTGCATATACAGCCTTTCTGCCAGAAGAGGGCATCAGATCCCATTACAGATGGTAGTGAGTCACCATATAATTGTTGGGAATTGAACTCATGACCTCTGGAAGAACAGTCAGTGCTCTTAACCACTGAACCATCTCATCTCTCCAGCCCTACCCTTCCAAATCTTAAGATGTATTATAGACCCATAGTAAGAGAAACAATGTGGTACTGGTACAAAAA